TATTTTGACTCTTCCGTCTTTATCAAGGAGCATATTTTCAGTCTTGACGTCTCTATGAACTAATTTCAAATAATGCATGTAACTTAACCTATAAAAGAAAAATACAAAAATAAGAATTGGCGAACTTTTTTTATCACTTGGATCTATAGATAAGTGAAAACTCCTCTTTACGAAGTCCTCTTATCATAATTGTGTACAATATGATTAGAAATTTACCCTTTAGCAATGTCAAGTGCCAGTCGAATGACTACTTTTAGAGGTAGCTTTTTTTTCCTGTTTCTTATGAGGTAAGACTTCAGAGTACCTCCTATAAGATACTCAACTACGATACAACAAATGTTTTGTAGCTTGTCAATTTTGTTGCAATCTGATGTCATGTTAACTTCTGCAATGCTCGCTTTTGCTCCAATCAACTGGAGAAAAAAAGAGATTTGCAAATTACAGGATGCTTTAATCTAAGTACTTAAAATTTTATAGAATATAACTAAAAGAAGGCCCTTTTCTGTAAAATAAGAAACAATAATGAACAAGCCAGTTTAGAGAACATGCTAGATATGTATTAATATTGGAGAATACAATGAAGAAGTTCTGCTCCGTCCTCTTCATAAAACAAGACATTAGTTTATAAAACTTTATGATCAAGCTTCAATTTAAGGCAAATATTGCATGGAAAATAAAATAAAATAATAATAGGAGGTTTAAATTTACCTTGACAATGTTAGGATGATCCATCTTGTTCCATATCGAAACTTCTTGTGAGAAAGTTTTATGAAAAAAATTTCTTCGGATCCCATCTCCCAAGTCCATTAGTTTAACTGATAAATAAACAGGAAGATAAGAACATAAGATTAACAAATAAACTATTAAAAGATAGATGTAAAACTACAACTCAGCATGGAAAAGATTTGATAGCATCGGACATTTTCAATAAAATGATTTAATATGATTCTTATGAATTAATATGATAGATTGAGCAAAGTGGCAAAAGGAGATTAATTTAATAATTGGGAATAGCTATTGATCGAAGTTTGGTAAGATATCAAAAGATACTTATCGTAACTGTATATAGATTTACGCACAAAGTACTCATCAGATATAACAAATGAAAACCTAAGTACATCAAACACATCAAAACCGTATATGCATCAAAATGCAAAACTTTTTCAATAATGGAAATTTCATCAGAGGAATCAGCCATTTAGACTACTACTTGTAAGCAAGATTTTGGTGAGAAAGAAAAAAGGAATCAGAAAACTAAAGAAAATTTATTTCTATCAGCTTTTTTGTCCTTAGAAAACAGAAACTAAAATATTAAAAATAATTCCGTCAAATGAAAGGAAAATTATGTGTAAATTAGAAGATTTATCTCCGTCATATAATCTTTACCACCACCATCTCCCAGGTAGCTAAACTCTTTGGAACCAAGATCAAGAAATTTTCCTCGTTAAAATCAATAAACCTATTGCTGAAGTATGAAATAAAAATCAACATTAGACACTTCACAAAAGCGAACAAATATTCTGCAAATCATTATGGGTCCTTGATTTCATTATTAAATAAAAAAAGAATGGAACCAAACCCCAAAAACAAATTTGACCACTTCTAAGCAAAGTTAAATCTCATTAAAAATCGAAGAAAAACATTAAGTAGAAAAGTTTCAATAACACATTTCGATTATGTTTTCTTGAAACGATCGCAAGAGAAAAGTTTTCCATGTGTCAACGTACAAGTACAGAAACATATTTTGGGTTCTAATTATTTTATTATCTTGTACAGGAAATTAAATTAAACATAATTATTTAGTCCACAATCAGTAATCAACTTCCATGGTATGCAAGAAACAAAAGATAACGTCAAGAAACAGACATGCAAGATCTTAAGATAACGTCAAGAAACAAAAATTAATTACCTGCAACGTCAACTCCATCGTATACACCTCTATAAACAGATCCAAAGGCGCCTTGGCCGATTTTACTCTTCAACAGCAGTTTATTAGGATCGATTTCCCATTTTTCTTCCACTGATGAAACCTTAATGTTGGATTTCTCGTCATTATCGTCACGCGATTTTTTGTTTCTCAACCTTAATGTTTTGTCTATATGCCTTCGCAACTGTTCATCCATCTTCTTAATATCGATTTCAATTCCCACTTTCGGTTTTCCCTTCTTTCCTGATCTCTCTATATTCTCCATTGTTATTACCATAACAAGAATCGCTTATATCGCCCGGAGAAAGTATATGAATGCTGAGTCTATTTTCTCTGCGCTCGATTGATCATCTCATTTAAGTTCTATCCGTTTGTGCTTATTTATAATTTATAGTGGTTACCTTGCCCAAGACTCCTAGTTGTAGTTGAAGTATATTTTTAGTTTGTTTCCTTTTTTAATCTTTCCTTGATTCGTTTAGGAGTTGCTTAATCCTATTCCTTTTACAACAGTAGCAAAATATTCAACTTTTGATCAAATTCGGTGGCCGATTGACGGTTTTAGGAATTAGGTCTATTCTAATTATTTTAGGATAAAATTTCAAAATTTCCTCAAGAAATAAAATTTATTTTTATACCCGTCTGAATATTTCGTGAGTTAAATAAAATATTTTTTTTTCTTTTATTAAATTATCTTTCCCTATTTTTGGTTTTTTAATATTAGTCTTACACGTAGATGTATTGGGGCATGTTCCTAAAAGGTTAATAGTGTGACTAAGAGCATGTTTGATGTAGCTACTTATTTTGCTAAAATCTTATTAAACTTAATTTTTTATTAGACAATTCATTCCGCCAACTTTTATCCATTTTTTAAGGAATAATACTACTTATATATATAATACATTTACATAATGATTCACATACAAATAAGGTGTCAAAAAAATAATAAATATATTATTTTTTTTATTTGATAGAGAAAATTATAATCCAAACATATCTTACCATATTATATGTATGTAAACAGTTATGTATATGTAGAATAACCCTTTTTTTAAAACACATTTTATGAGACCCTAATTAGGTATGTGGTAATTTTAGGTATGTAGGCTGGAAATAAACTCTAATTAGAATTCTAGTCGTAATGGAACGACTCAATTATTTCCTATATAAAGGCTAAGTTCCCTCTCCTCTTCATATATGTTTTCATTACCTTGTCCCATTGATAGCTAATATTTTTGTGAGGAGCAAGGAGAGGAAGATCGTGGCCGCTACTACAACTATTATTCATATTAACGATAGTTTTCGCAGGTATGAATTCGAACCATTAATTTATAATTATGTGATTCTTGATTCTTAGCATAATTACAATTTAATTCAACATAATACTATTTGTAATAGCAATCCTAATATATCATATTAACAATCAAAATATGATCGAAAGAAAAAATCTCTGTTTGAGAAAACTGCTTCCTATAACTATGAATTCCATTTGACCCAGCAATGATACATTGGTAGGCAACAGATGTAGAGAGAGAGAGAGAGAGAGAGAGAGAGAGAGTTTTAGGTAACCAGAGCATTTTAGGTTAAACTTCAATAGGTGCATGTTTGGTTGATTGAATTGGACAAAACTGGATAGGATCCTATACAGAAATAAAACGATGTTGAATTCGCTTGTTTTGTCCAATCCTGTGTAATATTTCATACCAAACGTACTCTAGCTTTAGAGG